TGAATGAAAAAATGGAAAAAATTAGGCAAATATTTAGAGGGAATACAAAGATAGATTTACAGCCCTATGTGCAACAACTAAATTCACCATAAACCTTGTTTGTCTCTAAGACAAAGGAAAATAGTTCAGCTCTGAGAAAGAGTTATATATGACTCACTCAAATTGGATGTCTTGTTGCTCTTTTTGTTGTTGTTTGGTTTTGTTACATCGGATCTAAGGAATCATAGAGGAGATTGTTCAGTTATTTGCACTAAAATACTGAACACTGGAATTTTTCATCAAATGCATAAAATTTGTCCCACTGGAGGGAGCAAATGGTGTGGATCAGGGTTTGTTGAAAGTTGTGGCATAATGCGAATATAATGCATTGAATATGAGTGTAAGAATTGTACAGAATAAATGGGGCCCTTGTTTATTATTTTTGGCTGTTATGTTTTTATGACATGATTTAAGAGATCCATTCTGCGTTCTGTTCTGCTAGTCCTTGTGGATGCTACCAGCCACTTCCTTACTCAGTGGCTGTGGAATTGGTCCCCTAATTAGAGGGTACTCCCATGCATGTGTGCGTTTTAGGAATATTACAGAAATGCTATCAGTAATGTGGAATACTGGTATTATTTTACCAAGAAAATAGTATTTCTGCCAAAGAAAACATGATGATGAATCCATGTGAGAGAATAGAAGCAAACTTTCATCTTTGTATAATGTCTTCTATTGTATCCGTTTTAATCAAAGTGTTATTAATTAGTTCTGCTGATAATCAGTTATATGGGAAACAAGATTTGAATTGACAAGATTAATATATTCGTCATGAGATATTCTTCCAAAATGTTACCTACAGATGATATACAGAACATTATTTTCACTCTCTCCTTTTCATATATCAGAAGGCAGCTTCTCTCGTTACATCTGAGTATTTGCTCTCGTTGCACAATTATTCCAGGTAAAGGTTTAGTGGAAAATTAATGCATCGTTTTATGTTTAGTGTGATCTGTATTAAAATGAATGCAGACATACTGCAGTTAGCTCTAATATATAATGACTGGTGAGTAAATCTAAGAACCTTGGTACCAGCAAGGTGATATAAACCTTGGTTTTTCTGCTTTGATTTAGATTAGCAGCAGGACCAAACTTATTCAGTGACTTAAAGACAGATAGGCAGAGTAAGGACCTATGAAGTGAGAAGTATGGATTTTTAAAGCTTAGACTGATGCCATTCTTGGATGAAAAAATAAGTCTCATATCTCATTGGTTGGGATGCTGGGGTTTTGCTCAGAAAATGTGAATTCTCTCCTAAAAACAATGGGTTTCTGTTGTGGAACTGCTCAGTTCATGGCACTGATTCATGCCTCAATTTCTCTTTGTATAAAATGGCATTAGCAATAGTTGATTTTAAGAACTGTGGATAAAACATGTCAGTGCCCACAGGGTGTTATCTGACCCCCAGGTACTAGTTGAGGAGGACTAGCTGGTTTTTGAGAAGGGTGCTATGTGTAGGCTGCCCTTTACAGCAGAATTAGTTAACAGAATGATGCTTATTCTCAGGCAAATATCTTTCCTTTTTATTATGATTTCAGCATGCTGCTCCCCATGTTCATATGACTAATGGTAAGGCCTTGCAAGCCAGTGCAAGTGCCATTAAGACAAGCACCATTCCAGTGATCAAGAGACAGAGGCAAAATTGGCTTGATGCTTCAGATGATGGTTTCTTTATAGCTACAGAAGAGACCAGGTAAGAGAAATGAAATCTAAGCAGGGAATGTGGCTTCACTGCGTACGTGTTATTGATCCACTATTTGAGTAACAGTTTTTGACATTATTGCTTGAGGTTGCGTTAACAGTGAAGAGCAATGTTACATCAAAACATACACCCAACTTTGCATCTCTTGCATACTAATATTATCAGCATTTCACTAATAAGACTTATTCAGTCAGGGCTCCTTCTCTGTGGCAAAGATTAGAACTTTTTAATTGTTACTAACTGTAGGTCATATACAATGACGTTTAAAGCACCTCTGATCATTCAGCAAAATGTAAATGCCTCCACAATGTAGGTTATACTCTAAAATTTTCAGAACTTGAAAAATACATAGGACATAATAGAGAAAAATACAGCAGATAGCATCTTTTCCAGGCTAGAAGTGGATTTCCTTTAAAAGCAACTAAGATGATCATCTTTTTCAGTCTTTCATTTACAAATTAATTGGTGAAATTTAATGAGCTTTTGCTTTTCCCAGTAGAGCTTGATATCATGGAAGAGTCACTAGTTTTCTGGAGGCTCCTCTGTTCTTTTCTTCCTCTGTTAAGATCTGGCCATTCCCTGATTTCAGTCAGACTAAGATAAGGAGTTACAGGCTATTTTTGTAAGCTGTGGTTGCTCGGCCTGCTACTTAAAAACCTTTAAAATCTTGCTTAAGCAAGGGGATTATTAGGGCAAGTAACATCAGACTGCTCCTCACTTCTGTGATTATTTCACAAGCCTAGAAAAGCTGGTAGTTGAACAAAAATGTAAATAATAAAATGAGGGAAGAGAAAGAACATACGTAAATATAGAGCTAACCAAGGAAAATGTGCATATTTAGTCCTGTTTATGGCAGATTCAGCTAGAGAAGTCAAAATACTAGTATGTGAAAATTTGGTGGTTATTTCAAGATCAACTGAATATGGCACTTCATTTTTCTTTTGTATGAGGAATAAGACAATTCAGGGAGAGTGATAAGAAGATGATGATCTCTTAGGCTTCTGATATCTAGCCCAGATTGATAGCATTCACTAGTTTGAGAGTTGTTTGATGCAAAGAGCTTAGTAGTATCAGACTAATCCCTAGTGATTATGCCCTCAAAGTGAGACTGGTAACCTTTCAAAGTTTTAGAATTTTCAGATTTCTTTTTTTTCAGTTATCATAGAGAAGTGCCTGTGAAAGGACGAGGTGAGTCCTACACTGGCAGCATTTGTGTCTCCCCACTGATCTCAGAGGTAGCCTAGAGAACTGGCCTAGACTAGATGTTGAAATTCGAGGTGATTGAAGTATGGTGAGATGAGTCCTGCCTTTGCAAATCACTCATCCGTGATAGCCCTGCCTGTTCCCATCCTAGGAAGTCCCCCACCCCTCTCCCCTGGCTGCAGAGACCATACCCGGGCCAGGCAGCAAGGCAGAACTTGCTCTGTCTCCCCCTCTGCACCCATGGTGGTGGGTAAGCAAGGGGCTTAGTCCTCAGGACTCTGTGCCTGGTGCTCTTCTCCAAATCATTAAAAGTTTAAAGCATAACGTTTGAAATCTCCTGGTGTGGGGAACACAGGGCAGTTAGACCTCATCGGTACTCCCTCAAACAAGGAGGTGCCTGAAAACATCATCGTGCTGCGTCACTCTGGCCCGTGCTGAGGAAGCACAGCAGGGAATGCTCAATGACCAGCGTGGGTTGGGACCCCCAGTACAGCCATTCCCAGTTGGACAAGAGCTAACCCTGCAGGTCCGATGCCAGTACATATGCATGCACCTTCCTTCTGTGATAGCAACACACAAGGAGTGTTAGTGCCTCGTTCACATTAATCTTCAAAACTATAACTAGTAGGAGACAGCAACTTTTTATCCTTTGAAACTCCGTTTCACATGAGATCTGTTCCTTCTCTCTCACAGGGCTTTTCTTTTTTTTCCTTTTTTTTCTTTTTTTTTCTTTTTTTCTTTTTTTTTCTTTTTTTCTTTTTTTTTTCTTTTTTTTTTCTTTCTCTGTCCCCATCCCATCCCCATTGATTCCTTCCCTACCTCAGGCGTGCTTTCTCCTTTCGAACTTTTTCCTTTGATCCCCTCTACCTTTACTCAAATATTATTTAGAAGAGACGGTGTAGCTTGTTCTCCTCTCGGCTCTCACTTGCCTCTGACCTTTACCGCTTGAAGTGGAAAGCATTGCCTGGTTCTGCTGCTAGGAATGCACTGATGCCCAAGATGACAGTTAAATGCTCTGCTCTTTGGGGGAAGAAGGAGGAAGAGGGAATACACACTAGTCCCTGACAGCCAGCCTGCCCTGTGATAGGAGTTCATGTAGCTGAGCACGGCTGTGATGGAGTTGAATGCAATATAATTGCAATGGGAAGAGAGATCTAGGGAGGAGACATTTGTGAAAAAGCAGCACACAACTTATCCAGTCGTGCCATAGAATGAAAAAAAATTAAAATAAATCAGTTGCCAGTTTGCAGCCATATAGGTGTTTAAATATATTCTGAACACTCAGTTCAGAAATAATCACCCCATTTGAATCAAGGTAACAACTCCTTCTTTAGGGCACTTCTTCCATGCTGCATCAGGATCCGGTCTGTTTTACCATGTGTATTTCTTCATTAAAAATACATGTAAGACAGACACATGCTAATTACAGCAAAAGGGAAAATATTTTTCAGTAGATTGTTTTGTTTGCAACATAACAATTTTCATTTGTCCATCCTAAAACTTTTTTTTGTGTGCAGTGAATTAAAGTTTAAGATGCATATTTCTATAAAACATCGAGTAGAGAGTCTAGAGGGTGAATTTTCTCAGACATTTAGCTAACAAAATTGTACTACAGTAGTCAGTTGATATTATCTGAGAAAAAAATGTAATATTATTGCTGCTAAACTAAATGAGGTGCTAGTCTACTTCATGCTAACCAAGCCAAAGATGCACATGAGCATTCTGAATTTTATTATCCATCAGTAGGTAAGGTGAATATATGTATTTATGCCTATAGCTCCATTTTAGAAGATATTTTAAAATAAGAAATTGCTGTCATCCTCCCCCCCTCTGAATTTAAGCAGCAATCGTATTTCTGTAAAGTTAACTCTTGTATATCTAATCGCTCACAGATTCAAGATACTTGTAGCAATGGATGAGTAGGGAGCTGAATATTCAGAGCAGTGAAAATAATTGTGGAAATCATATGTCATCTAAGCCTTCCAAGGTAAAACCTTAGAGTTACCCTAGAATTTTAGGGTGGTGCCCTTTACTCCTCACTCAGGCCACAGTTCAACAGTACCTGCAGGTACGCTTAAAATTTAGTGTGAGCATATGTATCACTGAAACAAAAAGACTGGAGTTTACATCTGAAGTTCAGCATATTTTAGGTGCTGATCTGCTCTTCAGAGTAGAACAGGAATGTACTTTTTATCAGTCGTAATGTGCATTCTCATAAATTTCAGCTTCTTTTTTTTTTTTGAAGTTGTAGCTATTTGAATGCAGTTTTGTCCCATGTTGTGTATCAGTATCTGCACATCTGGGGGAAAATGCCAGCATAATTCCTATTTGTATTCCCCTCTCTCCAACCCAGAGGCCTCTGCAAAGCTGGGTTGGACGTTAGCATGGTGCTGAGCCCCAGTTGTTACAGCCACTGGCCAGTTTGGGGAAGGGACAGAGCGAGTTTGCATCTGCCTACATATTAGTGCCATCACCCATATGAATTTTTTGACTGATCTATATCTATCTATATATATATCCACATGTAGATCCCCTTCTTGAATCCCTATGAGCACGCTCAGTGAATTTTGCCAATAAATATAGAGGTCCTCAGTTTTGCTCTTTCATCTGCAGTGACAAGCTGCACTCTCCATTCAAAAACCTTCCTGATGCCTGTGGGAGTCCAGCTCACCTGGGATTTCCACACCTCTGTTCAGTCACAGGCTCACAGCAGGGATTAATCTAAGCAGAAAACCAGGAGACAGTTCAAGAACACTTAACCTTGACATTACATCATAGTTTTATGTTGACCTTTGCTGGATTTAACATTTTTGTATTTTAATTTATTCTTACCCTTTTTGAATGAAAAAGGAATTATCATTCCCTACTGCAAAATAACTTGCTCAAAATTTTATTCTAAAGCAAATCTGTTTACACAATTCATTGAAAAATCACTCTTTAAAGGGGCTTACATTTATCACTGCTGACCAAGGGAGTTTCCTTATTTCTTTTTAATATACTTAAATACTAGCTGCTAGGATTCTCCTAGCACTAAGTGCATGCTTTAGGATCAGCCAAAAGTCTCATAACTATAAAAGAATTTTATTCAGGACATTGGGCTAAATCACCTTCACTATAAGGAAGCTTTTGGGGTTTCATTCCCCTTTTGTTGACTAGCTGTGATGTGGATTCTATTGTAGGCCCTGTTAGACGTTAATGCAGAAATTAAATTCTTTATACTGAATCACCATTCTGGGAGTTAAATAATAATTTTAAAAGTGGGACAGTTCATATTATAGTCTCCAGAAGTTTAATAAAAAGTGTAATATATCAGCTTAATATCTGTTGAGTTATATAAGACATAATCATAATCTATGAATAAAATCAGTAATATAGCTGTTGGATGTCAAGAGAAATGTATCTATTGATTAAAACTTTTCTTACCAATTCTAGGTATGCAGTGTGCATACAGTTCCTATACACATGCTCTGTCCGTAACAGAACGCATGTGCATGCTAATGACCGTACTTGTATAGGGACAGCTAAAACGCTGAGTGGAAAATGACAATTATTTTTTTTTTTCAGCATTTGCTTTATAAGAAATGTGTGGAAATGTTTGGCTGAATGGGTTATAGCAGCAGATTCCATATGCTTTCCTTTCATGGGCCAAAAAGCATATTTGCATATAGAACTGCAGTTGAATGACTCGATGCTTGTTTCCTTTCAGTGCTGAAGCAGTTAGAAACCTTCTCACGGTAAGTGCAACTCCATTGGGAATGAGTTAACTGCAACTGCTAAAATTAGAACGTGATCTTTAGCTGTTACCAGCAGACATTGCTTCCTTTTTGCTGATAAAATGATTTGAGAGGCATCCCTATGGCAGCATTTTATAGGCAATTTTCATATTCTTCACTTCATGTTCTGTCTCCAAAAGGAAAAGCTTCCCTTGATTTGTTGAGGTACTACATAAGGATATCACAATCGCTGTGATAATTACCTGATACCACTCATTTTTATTTATGCATGTCTCATAGCACACACAAAAAGCTTAAAAACCAAAGTTGCATGTTGAGAAAGAAGAGAATGTGAGGCTGACAACCAACTTCAGCAAAATGTTGAGTCTTGCCTTGCCATCAGTGGTCTGGTTCTCTTGCAGAAGTGGGGGAGAGTCATGCAAGCGCTCACAGCCCTTCGTGCGCCTGCATATAATACCGCTAGCACTCTCTGCATTGTAGCTTTATCAGTGGAAACCCTAACCTGTACCTTTAAAACTTGGGTGAACCAAACCCGGTATTAAGAGTTGTGAATGAGCTGCCCTTGACCCTTCTCCCTCCCACGTGTGTTTTAATCAGTGCTTAGACAAGGTCAGGCACGGTGTTTGTGTTACCCCTTGTAGCACATTGCTGGGAGAAAAGGGAAAAGTGGAGGAGTAAGTCTCCAGTGCCCGCGTCTGATACACAGTGCACAGGTGCAGGTCTAGATCAAAGTCAGAGCTCCAGCGCTATCTGCTCTCCTCCTTCTTCCTCTTCACATGTGCAGTTCCTATCACAGAAATGTTCACAGGCATGTTTACTCTTTCAGTTGTCCCCAACTGTGCAAAAAAATTTGTGCACCAAAAAAAGTATTTTTAATATACACTCTGCTTTTCATAAAGATGAGGCAGTTTGATTTGAGTTGGGATCCTGGTTTTGAACTTCACCATACTTGGATCGAGGGCATAGTGCAATTTCATTTCTTACCTGCATGGCACTGTGGCCATTAAACCCCGACCCTGTAACCGACTGCATGAAGATGCCTGGCTGCACCCTTGGAGAGTCACCTGCAAGCCTGAGAATGTGATGCACCGGCTACTACCCTCTAACCAAAAAATCAGCCTCTAAGGATGTAATTTTCTGGTTCCTTTACTTCTGCTGTATTGTATAGTTGTCATACATCTTGAAAAGCAGGGATTACAGAATATATCCCTTAGAATTATGTCTAGTCCTCACTGATAGGATTGCAAATATCTTACTGATTGACTGCAGCTGAGTACAGGTGAGCTGACAACCATATCCAGTCACTGTGACAATACTGCATGCGGGGAATTTGGGGAGGAACTGTCCTTGCTACAGTTTAGGAGCAGTCCTACTTGGCTACCTACTGTTCAAAGTTGTTATATACTTATGAGAGGGAATAATAGTTTCTGTGAGCTGTTATCTTGACCTTATTTAGTGTGGACTATTCATGAATGCTGCACACTGTTCACACCTCATAAATGATACTTCTCTGAGCTCTAGCTGAGGTACTGCGATACAGAATCCCAACCAGTGGTATAGAAACTAGATCATAATCCTTGCCATTTGTTTCTCATTGAGCAGCTTTCATGGGTCCACAGATACTTTCTTTTGCTATTTATCTACATGAGTTTTTCCTCTGGCTCCTTTTACAGTACCTACTAAGTCCAAGTAACACTACTGTGATAATGCAAAAGTTTGTTTTTAAAAGCAGGATCATTCCATGAAGCTAAAATCAACTAATATGAAGAATGTGAATATTTTTTAAACTTATAAAAGGAATAATAGATATATACATTGAAAACATGTACATTACAAAACCCAAAGTTCAGTTGTGCAATTAGTTAGAGCTGATAGGTTTGAAGAGCATCTGGTATTAAAAGAGTTTTGCTTTATCAGTCTTCAGAACAAATTAAATGCAACCATTCTGGTTTGGAGCTATGTATTAATCTCACAGTTTAAGATGAAGTTTCAGTGACATTGTAGTAAACTGGTCGCCCTATTTAAAGCTACATGGTAAGGGAAAGATCTTGCAGTGGTTGGAGTGCTTACCTAGGACTTGGGAGAACATGATTCAGTTCCCTGCTCCCTCACAGACTTCCCATGAGACCTCAAGCAGGTCTAAGTCTGTGTCTCCAAGCATTTCGATGCCTCACTCCTCATATCAAAATTAACAAGGTGCCAAATACTTTGTTGAAGATTTGGAGGCAATTGTCAATGTACCCTCTGTTCTTTGCCTGAAGAATCAGATGAAGAGTACTTTATTCTTTCACAGGGCTGTTGTACATGGAGCAGGTCAGAAGCCTTACAGGGAATCTTCTTTCAGAGAAAACTCCTTACCTATCTCGGTAATAAAATCTCACGGTAATGCCACCCACAGGAGTCCAGAAGCTGTTGACTGAAACTGGGTGATTTGTTAGTTTCAGAGGTGTCTCCGCTGATGAGCAGGTGAAAATTAATTAGTGCACAGCTTCAGTGATGACCGCAAGGAGACTGAGGCTAAGAACAGATGGTTGTAAATGACCTAGTTACTGCTGCCTGAAGAATCACGCTGTCATATCTTGTAAAATGATCTTGTCTGATCCTGCTCTGTTGTAAGCAGAAATTCAAATATGCTGCCTCTCTATGGTGGCTTAAATACCAAACTATATTTTGCAATTGCATCTTAGGTAGGAGCTTGAATGTGGTTAATTCATGTGATGCAGCTAAAGAGCAGTGACACATTTAGAGTTGTTACTCGACCACTTGCAATCTTCGCTGCACTCTTCGACAAAAGTCATTTCACATCCAGACAGTAGCTGCAGAAGTAGCCAGAGCATTTTATATTTGGGAAGGGAAATATTATTTCTGAAATGAGACTTTTTGCAAAACTTTATTGCCTTGGGAAGCTTGGGGGGGGAAACCAAAAGAACTTAAATGAAACAACAGGGATGATAATAAATGCGTTAAAGATTGTCTTAAACACAGATGATGGTGGAGAAGCTCCAGTATAAGTACTTAACTTTTCCAGAAACCTCATTCACTTTGTTAGACCTTCCAGACCTAGTTCAGCAAAGCTCTTAAATGCATGCCTGACTCCCACTGAGTGCGGTCTGTCAACTAGAGTACATCACGTAGTCAGTAATACACCTTATATGTCAGATGTTAAATTGGGATGTCATGCAATTCTTTTAACCTGTTTCCTTACAGTTCTTCACAAATTTTGAATTTCCTGCAGTACAATTGGCCATTTAAAACGGTTTTCCTTCAGAAGCTGTCTTTTGTGTTTGTGCAGAGGATTTGATGTAGCTGAACCCAATCCTCTTTACAGGATGTTTTAACTGAAGGTCTTAGGGCTTAGCGTTTTCTTAGCTTGCTGCTCAGCTTTTTCCTAAATCCACATACCCAGTGGGAATGTGTCATCTTGTAACATTTGGTTGTCTTCTATTGTGGGAGTTAAAACCAATTTGGTTTTGAACAAGAAGAAATTCTCCTATAAAGAAACATCTTTGTATGGGAAGCCAATTTCTTTTACGAAGCCTTGGGAAACATACAAAATAACAACAACGACAACAACAAGAATGCTAACTTGTCAGACTAGCATAGGCTTCTGCATATTTAAGTATCAAAGAAAAGATAAAGACAATATTAATTATACAATTGTTACCTATAGCAAGGCTAGAGTAACACTAGTTTAGGACTAAAATTAGTCCATTCTCACCATTCCTATGCCTAAACCACAGAGGTTTATCACATTAAATCTTAGCTATTGATGATTGTAATCCTCAAACACTGCACAGTATCAGTCTTAAGAGATCTTTTTCCCTTTTTACAATTTCTGTGCCACGTGAGCAACAGTAATTAGTAGAAGCTGGACACAGGGTTAAAAATTACTTCATCTGAAGGCAGAGGAATACACAGCAATAATGTGCATGTAGATATAGAAACTAGGTAAGTCCTGTGGTGAACACACTGTTGCTAAAGTTAAATAGCAAAGAAGGTGATAAAACTCTACTGTGGTGAATATATTAAAAATGTAATGTCAGTGATCCTCACAGTCTTAAAATTCACACAGAACTGCCCACTAACTTTCGTTTATAAGTTGTCCTGTATCAGATTCTTCATTTCAAATTACAGATAGAGGACTTAATTCTGAGCTAGTCTATATTTCAGTGTATTTATTTAATCATTTATTCTTACTATTTTCCTCTGATTTTTTTTTTTAAACTCATTAAGATCTTTTAAATGCATGACCCTCTGGCATTAAAGTAAGTAAGGCTGTGGAAAAACAAATGTTAGTTGGTCTCCTGTGAAAAAGCTTGCATAAGTAACTACATAGGCATTTTAAATGTAAAATACCAAGGAGAACATAATGGCTGTGACTCTGCAAGCCAATCACAGAGATAACTATCGGTTCTTGTCAAACATTTAAGGAACCAGGGCTGGCTGTTTTTCTTATTTGTGCTATGGATAGAGGCTAAAACATTTACCTGACAATATACAACAGAAGTGTTGTTCTAGTGGAAAAAGCACAGACCTGAACTTTAAAATTCCCCCATTTCCTCTATTACTTCATGTGAGACACCAGACAAGCCATTTAACCTCTGAGTAGCTCCACCTTTTTGTCTGTAAACTTGAATAATATTGATGTATACCTACTCTTAAGGATGCTTGCAGTTTTTAATTAAGCAGTCTGGCAAGCACTATGAGATACTGACATGAAAAGTGCTGGCCATAAGAGTGGAGAGCAGGATGAATGGCAGAAAATGAACTCGAATAGACCTTTGGTAACGTGAATATTAAAAAAAATTAAAAAATACAGTCTTTGAAATGAAGCTGACCTTAGAAATTAGCATCAAATCATTCTGTGGCAAAGCTTTCCTCTGTTGATGCCACAGTACAGATCTCTAATCCATATTCTGTATCAGAGCTTCTGTGTGTAGTCAGTGCTGATTATGCAAGAGATTGATGGTGTGGAGCAGAGCCCCAGGGGACAGTTCCGT